CTTTTAATTTATTTTATTTTCTGCTTTTACCTGCCCGGGACCCCAAATTCGGCTCCCAGTGCCAAACTGGGGGCACTGGGAGGGACTGGGAGGGGGCCCCGAGACCCCCAGGAGGGATTTTTGAATTTTGGAATCCCCAAATCTGTTTTTTGGGGGAATTTTGGAATTTTGGGAACTCCAGAATGGATTTTTTTGGTGGTTTTAAACTTTGGGATCTCCAGGATGGATTTTTTGGGAGATTTTGGAACTTTGGGATCTCCAGGATGGATTTTTTTGGAGATTTTGGAACGTTGGGACCCCCCCAAATCTGTTTTTTGGGGGGATTTTTGAACTTTGGGAACTCCAGAATGGATTTTTTTGGTGGTTTTAAACTTTGGGATCTCCAGAACGGATTTTTTTGGGGGATTTTGGAATTTTGGGAACTCCTGGATGGATTTTTTTTGGGGGATTTTGGAACTTTGGGACCCCCGAATCTGTTTTTTGGGGGATTTTGGAACTTTGGGATGCCCAGGATGGAATTTTTTTTTTTGGATTTTGGAATTTTAGGACTCTCAAAATGGTTTTGGGGACACTTTGGGACCTCATCCCTGTCCCTGTCCCCACCTCAGTGGGGTCACCGGAGCACCGCACCCAAAAATGCCCCTTTTCACCCCAAATTTGGGGGGTGGCCATGTCGGGGAGGGTTTTGTGTCCCCAAGGGGACAATAAAGGTGACCTGGGACAGGAGGGGACTGTGCCTGTGCCGGGGGTGGCACTGGGGACACTGGAGTGGCACCCAGGGGTGACACTGGGGTGGCACTGGGGACAATGGGATGGCACTGGGGACATTGGGGTGGCACCCAGGGGTGGCACTGGGGACACTGGGGTGGCACTGGGGGTGGCACTGGGGACACTGGGGTGGCACTGGAGTGGCACTGGGGACACTGGGGGTGGCCCAGGGTGTCACCCCGGGGTGATAGAGTGGCACTGGGGACACTGGGGTGGCACTGGGGTGGCACTGGGGACAATGGGATGGCACGGGTGGCACTGGGATGGCACCCAGGGGTGGCACTGGGGACACTGGGGTGGCACTGGGGGCACTGGGGACACTGGGGGCACTGGGGGTGACACTGGGGTAGCACTGGGGACAATGGGATGGCACTGGGGACATTGGGGTGGCACTGGGGACACTGAGATGGCACTGGGGTGGCACTGGGGACACTGGGGTGGCACTGGGATGGCACCCAGGGGTGGCACTGGGGACACTGGGGTGGCACTGGGGTGGCACTGGGGACACTGGGGGTGGCCCTGGGTGTCACCCTGGGGTGACAATGGGGACACGAGAGTGACACTGGGATTTGGGCCCACGCAAAGCGAGGGTTGGTACAGCCCAACCCCCACCCTGCAATGGTACAGTCCGCGCCCCCCTCCCC